AACTAGAGCTATGGAGTACTTTATATTTGGAAAAATTGAGCCAGCTATCTAAAGTTCTTGTAAGAAGAATTAGAAAGGCTACTTTCCCCAAAACGTGCGTGAATGTGTAGGGATATCTGCATGCATGAGCATGCCTCCTCACCTGTGCATGTGGACACTAGTGTATGCTTATGTTATTTGTTCCATTTTCAGTCTATTTTAAACATTAGTTCAAAATATGATTTATTATACTAACTTTACTGTGATCTTTGTTGGTGTCTAGACCTTGTGCCTTATGTCAAAAAGGAATGGGGTGTTTTAGTTTTTTCATTGTGTTTTAATGATCTCCACCTACAATTACTCCAATATAATGAAGAATAGGACTCTAATATGGTACTGTAGAATGTAAAATTTATAGAAAGATAAAACTCCTAGGTATTTTTCAAAGTTTGTGAACTGTACACTGCAATGTAGAAGGATAAAAATTACACATCCGATCTATACACCCACTAGTAAAAAGTAAACAGATAATTCCAAAATACTGTATATTGCATGATTCTTTGTGTTTGTTTTCAGTTCAGATCAAAACCTTCACAGTGTAAAATCAGTGTTTTAATAACTTCCTATTTTTCAGAAAAGGTAATTTTTAGCAAGGAAAGACAACAATGAGTAATTTAATGCCATCTGAAATACATAGTATTAATACAAGATCTTAAGTCAGTCCAGCTGGCTGCAGATCAAGAATACCAGACAAAACTCAGCCAACTCTTTCCATAAAAGATCCCTTTCTTTTGTGGATAATTTAGCTCACCTTGCCAGCTGTGCAATAGGCTTGCCTCTAAAAACCAAGGTCTCCTTTTCAAAGAAATTATGGGCATCTTGATGCAGGAATGTCACCACCAAGGCTGGTGGTGCCCTGATGGCCCTAACAGAGGGCTGCTTGGAGCAGGATGTCCTCTTCCCTTCTTAACCACAGGGGACCCCACTGGCACTAATGGGGGTGTCTGCTCTGGTCTGGAAACCAGCAGATGCTTTGAAAGGGAGCCCTTACAGGGAAGGTGGGAGGGATTCAACCCCCTGACGGTATTGAGAGCGAGCACAAAGTTAGTTTTGTATACTAACTACTTCTGTACAAAATTTTTGCTATGAAAATAAAAATAGGTTTTACTCTTAGAAGTACATACCTCTTTTCAAAAAGTACCGTTTGTTTCAGCTCTACTCAGCTGAGAGAGTTATGTGGGAAAAGGGGCTATAATAGGAAGAAATGTGTGTGTGTGACATAAAGCAGTGGCTACAGGAGAGGGTGAAAAATACATTTAGAGAAATAAAAGGTTTAAGAGAGAGGAAGAGAAGGGTAACTGCTTCAACTGTTTTGCCCTGCCCTGATAAACCAAAATGGCTCTATTAAATCCAAACTTAACTGGTGTTGTACTCCTTGACTGGTTTCTTTTATTTCAGAGTAGGTTAAAATCATCATAACATTTTGACAATATGGGTATAAAAGTGTCAACCTAAAAAAAAAAAAAAAGGAGGGGGGGCGGAGAGGTATCTTTTAGAAATACTTTTGACAGTGCCTTTGTACAGTGTTTGTTGTCATCTGCCAAATGTTCAAAATCAAAAATATGGCATTAAGCACAAAGAACGGTATATTCCAAAATTGCCAGGTGCTCTCCATGCAGAGTGCTATAGGGATGTCGTGTTAATAAGCAACCTCCATTTGTAAATGTAGGCACAAAGCAGCTTGGTAGTAAAAAGACAAACAAGCACTTGAAGACATAGGAGTAGCTAGAGAAAAAAATAGTGTTGTTATTTTCAATAACAGTATAAGCTCCAAAATGACAAAAGTGTCTAAAGAAGGGGCTGGATCTCATCTGCAACCATGTTCTTAAAAATGCTTTCATTTTGGTAGCATTGTTTGATGATGATAGCAATAGGGCTTGTGAACAGTTTTCCTTGTAAAGATGTTTGGATTTCTTTTAATATGACCTTAACTTTGGGGTTTTAATACTTAATTTAGGAGTAATTTAACCATCATTCTGGGAATGGTTACTATGCTTTCTGTTCTAAACATATGAATATATTTGAATTTAACTAGCTCCTTTATCACACCAGTGAGGATAAAAATTAAAATAAATATTGGTTTTTCCAGTTCATGACCTAAAGTATTTCCTCTTTCTGTGGAGACATGTTAAAAATAAAATCTCCAGACAAGTAACATCTCAAATTTGACCTACTCTATATGCTTGTGATACATTCCTGAATCACTCCATGCAAATGCCTAAAAGCAGAAATTAAGGCTGTAAGGGCAATCTTTGACCAGGCACTTTCTAATGCCTGAGTTTTGACTTCATAATGGTAAAGGTAGGATTTTAGTAAATAAATCTATAAATGTAATTTATAATATTGTGTACTAATTTGCAAGGTAAGTAGCTATCAGTGGGGAAAAATCTGAGAGCCTGGGTGCGAAGGAAATACTGTGTTTTCAAAAGAAAACAAATGAATTGCTAATATATTGCTGGCTTTAGATTATATCACATTTTGGTAATAAAATCTCAGAAGGGAGATACAAAAAAGATAAATAGGCTATAAAGCTCTTGGAAATTTATTAGATAATATCAAGGCTAAAACTGTCTAAACATAAATTAATCTTATAATAATATTTATGTAGTGTGTTGTATTGAATTTCCAATGCAAGATTAGGTTTTTTTATTTGTACATGTTAAATTTTTTGTATAATGCTTGGGCTTTCATGTACGTAATTTAATAGTGCCTCAGGCAAACAGAAGGTTATTGTGATATTACTCAATAAATTGTGAAAATAGAAACTCTACTTAGACTCATGACAAGGTTGATGTAAACAGCAGTCAGAACCACAAACCATTGCTAGGACTTCTGAACAGAATAGCTAAACTCCATACTGATAATATTGTTTTCTGAAAGAGGTGTTTGCCTGCAAACTCAGCCCGTTGTGTCAAGCCCGAGTATCACTTTAAACAGTATTTTACCACCCCTTCATTTCAGCAGATTCTTCTCCATCATTCTCAATGTGCTACATGCAGAGCAAACTTATATTTTTTTGGCAGAGTAAGTCAAACAATTTGCTTGGGGGAAAAGTCCAGATTTTTTTTTTTGTCTTCATGTAAAATGCCTGTTATCTCTCTAGTCTGAAAAAACCCAACCCATGTTGTTGTGGTGTGGCAATAAACTTTTGGGTTTTAAATCAAGTGTAATTTTAGGTTGATTAGCCTTTTCAGTTTTATATTTCCAATCAAAACTAATATAAATGAATACACAGTTAAGGCACTGTGTGGGAGGCATGGGTAAACTGGCTACCATCTCACCCACCATGGCAAACATAGGCCCATGCCACAAAGGAGGTCACGTCTCCTTTGTTAGCAGACCTGCATTTACTCCATTGGGCTCTCTGCACCCATGCGGATTAGATTAAATAACTGTTCTGACATTTGCAAACTTCAGACATCAGTTTAACTTCAGTTAAAATGAAGATGCATGAAGTTTCAGGGAATCATTTGGGACACTGTGTTTTTTGTTTGGAAGAAAGTGAAATTTAACCCATTTCACTGATTGCTATGTTGTTTTGAGATAATGTTCTCTCAGAGTCGTTCTAAACTCAGTTCAGGTTCATCAGGAGGTCCTGTGAATTCATTAGCTTTTTCAGCAAACCAATCCACAGTATCATGTTGTAATAAAAACACTAAATACACAGTTTTCCTGGATTTGGCCTTTGCTATGAATGTTGTTCATAACTCTGTTTTTCTAAGATTTACTTAACTAACCTTCAGTCACCTCTGTCTTCATGTAAAGACCATGTAGACCATGTTTTATATGACTATTTTATCTCTACAGTTCCTTTAATTCTAGCAGGAATCATTTAATTCATGTTTTGCAACTTCTTTGAAGCAGTATGTAAAAAAAACACTAATAGAATCCTAACTAACTAGAGAAGACACTGTGTAGCCTGAAAAACAGTTTAATGGCCATCAAAAAAGGCTGATTTGGGCATTTATATTACCTACTTATTAGACACAACGAAGTAATTATAAATATCTTTGTTTCCATTTCTTGAGAAGGATTTATAAAAATATTATTTTAAGTGAGTTAATGGAACTTCCTATTTTCTAACTTCCTGTTTTGAAAATCCATACAGGAACCGGTGGGGGTCTTCATGGTCCTCAATTTTGAGGCCGGCTAGTTGGCTAACTTGCATAAACTCTCTATATAAAGGGGAAAGAGAAGGAGAAATTCCTTGAGAGCATTATTTAGTCCATCTAACTCATCTTGCTTTGAGTTGCTCTTTCAAAGATCTTCTCTGTCTCCATTTGGTACAAATGGAGTATAGGGAAATAAACTGCATAAACTAGCTGTTTAAGTTGTGATGTAAATACCCCTCACCCTTCCCTCTTTCCGGTCAGAGGATCTACAATGCTGTATTTACTGTAATGTTAATGTATCTCATGTATATCAAGAATTTCCAACCAGGACAGAAATTCTCTGCCAAGAATTGACCATAACTATGACAAAACACAGTTAGGCTGATGAGTTCCACAGGGAAAAGTCCTCAGCTGGAAAATGGTTTCTTTGAACTTCCTTCTCTCCCATTTCAGTCATACCTTAACCTTCATCATTTGTATTTGTACAATTAAATTAATTAATCTGGGGGGAATATTTGGAGGAAGTTTTTAGAATCACTAGCTCTTTAGAGAGTATGTGTATCAAGGAAATGGTAATGATGCATTTGTACCAAACAACTGTGTTTTTTTAAAAATGTAATTGCTATAATGGATGTATAGTAAATATTAACATAAATTGTTTTCCCTGCAGTAAGTCAATGCTCAGTGAGTTGATTACTCAAAAAAGTATTTTTTAAAAAAATATATATTTTTCTGCTTTTTATTAATGTACTTTCATGCCAAATTAAGAAACAGAGCTTTCTTAATTTGAGTTTATTCTTTCCAAGTACTGCCGTTTCAGATTTAGCAATTGTGTGTTCTGTTCCTTAGGAAATAACAGAAGATCGGGACCGATCACGACTGGATTCAATGGTGCTGTTAATTATGAAACTGGACCAGCTTGATCAGGATATTGAAAATGCTCTCAGTGCAGGCTCTTCCCCATCCAGCACCCCAACATACAAACGACGGCATATACCTGTAAGCCAGTTTGCTTAATCTTTCTTATTATTCTAAGAATCTGGGTTTGCCTCACTTTTTTTTTTTTTTTTAGTCCTCACATTCATTAGGTCCTTGGCTTCAGAACTAAAGCTCTCTTTGCAAAGAATTTGTCATGTATTTTTGTTTGTATATATGTATGTTTTGAAGGCAGTAGTAGTGGCATCCGTTATTTCCTTTTGGCAGCATTTCATGAGAGAGGATCCCAGATGGAAAAAAAGGAGATCAAGAAGATTCAGAAAATGTCTGGCCCTCTCATTACCACTCGCTGTAAATGCAGAGTCAGCACGGAGTCAGGATCACACCAGTCTCAGGGCATGTGTGTATCTGTCATTTGACATTAAATAGTCAGAACTGAAAGTAAGTCTGAGCTACAGGTCTTGTTTTTCTGCTAGTGGGAGGGCCCATAAGATTTTTGGCAGAGACACGTGTATAAAATCCCCTGTCTTTCAAAATAAGATTCTGGGCAGAATTTTAATTACTTAAACCTCTTTAATTATTTGATTTATTTAAATGAGGTAATTCCTCGCTGAGAGTATAAAGGGAGACTAGACAGCCCACAAACATGATTGATGCGTTCTTTTTTTCTGAAAAATGTTTACACATGTAACTGTGAAGAACATGAAATGGCTGACCCAAGGTGTTCTGGTGCAGGCTTCCTGTTAATTTCACCCATATGTGCTGCAGCTGGTTTTCAATTTAAGAAACCTGAGAAACACTGCCCCAACATCTCTAGAAGATCTCTAGGATAACGTTCAGGTTGTGTGTTTTTGCTAGTGGTAATTTCTTTTAAATAACGAGGGGGTTTTCTTATTAAAGCCAGACAATTATTGCCGTACAGTTAAGTGAGTGGTCTGTAGGTGTGTAGGTGAGAAAAGCTGTATTTAACTTTCTGTGGGTTTGGGCAGCTGAAGATTATATAATATGTCATTTTTAAAGGACGCAACATAATTTCACTTTTAATAGCTAAACATTTTCCCCCGGATGTCAGTGTTTTCACAGTATGTCCTTGAGCACTGATGGGAGAGGAAAGCTGAAATACGATGTTAACATCTGTTCTCCATATCTCGTCCATGAGCGCCAGCATTTTAGCTAATTTCTTACAGCAATAAAGGGAGTTGGGGCGATCTGTATAAGTAAGCCTGCACGATAAGGAGAGGTGCTACCTGTTTCCATGCTGCAAAGCAGCCCTCCAGAAAGACAGCTTGCATCAAACATGATATATATGCTATATATACACACACACACACACACACACACTGATTTTCTAAGAGTTTTTGAGCCTTTGAGTATTATGAATCAGAAGGTTAAAAGATTTGGTTTTCAGGGCTCTTGTGCATTGTGTTCAGTCTCATATTGATTTTATAGTAACGAAGTATTTGAACGCCATGCAGAAAGATGGGTAATGAGGCAGGGAGCACGGTTCTGCGCTGTGGCAGCATGGTTCTGCTAAGCAGGAGCTTCTAAGAGCAGCTGTACCCAAGCTGACTTCTACAGAGGCATTTCCATGGCTCTGCTGCTTTCCCAGTGCTTCACATTGCACAGGACTCACTGGTAGGAAATATGTGACTCAAATGCATGGTCCTAAGTGCAGCTTTGTCACTGATTTCTAAGCTTTTTCAGAAAACAGCAGACTTTTGTACGTGGTGTAGAGGTACCTGTCTAATCGGCAGCTTCAGTTGGGCAGACCAGAGGCTTAACTGGAGGTAATGAATCAAAGGGTTGCCATTTCTTTCGAGTTCAGGAGCAGAACCCCTGAGATGCCTCTGCCCCGTATTTCACCTATTCTAGAAACTTGGTATTAGGAAACTGAGGCTTTGTCTGCATGGAGTTGGCCGGGGTTAATAGTTCAGGATTTTTTCAGTATACTACGTAGCTGTATTCACGCAGGCTGCAGCTCGGCTAATAATCCTGACAGTATATGGCTGGTTCTACACGCAGCCAGCTTTTTGCCAGATATGTGTCACAATTTATCTGCAAGCAATATAATCCCCTGCCCTCGCCCTATGCAGTAAATCAAGCATGTGCTATATTTTTACTTCCTCAAAAATAAAACATGCTATATTTCTTCTTTTTATTCTCAAAAAAAGGAATGTAATCAGTGTCATTAAAAATAAGAACAATTTAACCAGAAATAGCATTTGGCTGATAAGTGTCTGCTGAGTCCAAAAATCTAGGGAGCTGTACCTCTGAATTGTATAAACTGCTGGATGGTGATGTCATTTCAGCTGTGTAATGGTTTACAGATGTTCACTGAGCTTGCACCGCTGCCAGGGACAGAAGGTGGGAGCACACAGGAAATACTGAACAGCAGACAAAAATGTCAGATTTCTGCAACCCCAAACTGATGTTTTCTTACCTTGCACTCTAACATTTAGGGGAATTACAGCTTTGATGTTAGTGGTGATTTATAATTTCAGAACAGCAGCTAATGCAAACCACCACGTTGAAAAGTACAGCAAGTGAATGTGTAGGTAATGGAAAGGAATAAGGGGAATTGCTCTTACACAGACAATTAAGCGTATATATTTGAGTGAGCCTGTATAAATACTTCCATTATTTAGAAGAACTAGATTTTTATTTCATATTCACATTTACTAAAGAGACTTGAAACATCTTTTTTTTTTTTAATAGGATGTTGAATCTGGTTCTGAAAGTGGAGTGGATGTTGCTTCAATAAGTCACTCGCAAACAAACTTGTCTCCTAACACCCATGCTCCTGACTTGTCATTTCCCTGCTCAGTAGCCAGCTCTGGAGCTAAACCAAAAGCTGGGGTGAGTACAAAGTTTTTACTTTCTTAACTTTACTCCTGGTATCGGGTTGGAAGTGAAATACAGATATTTTATACTATTCATGACATGGATTGTACAACAGTATGTGTGTGTGACACTAAAAAAAAAAAGGACTAATAATGTAGGTTGTCTCAAGGTTGCCATTTGAGTGGCAAAGAATCCCAGAAGTTTCACATTTAGAAACACCCTATTATCAGCTGATGATTATAATAAGCTACGTTTTTATGTGAGAAAATAAATTAAAGGAGCTATTCCATTTTACTTTGGAAGATAGGGTTTTGTAAAATAATATTGCTTGGAACATTTCCTAAATCTCATGGAGGATGTAGCCAGAGAAAAAGACAGTTGAATCATGTAGCCTGATTTACGATGTCCAAACCAAGTCACTCTAGTCCTCTTGAGAGGCTAAGCTGTTGTGTACTGCAAACAGAGGTACTACCCTACTGAAGGGAGAATGTCATTCTAAGGACAAATTTGGCAGGCAGTTTCGTACGCTGAGGATTGGAGGGAAGCCTCTGAGCAGACCAACCCTTTCCTGCAGGTACCAATGCACACTAGGTGGTGAGGAAGGTCAGACCTAAGAGCTCAGATATGGAAGAGAGCTTCCTTCTGTATCCATTCATAGATACATGCAGTTATCAGCAGCATGATCCTTTCTTTTGTCGTTGTCCATCTACTAAAGAATCCTTCCTCATAATGCTTCAGCCATCAGCATGTGCAGAAAAGCTTGGATGTCCTAGAAACTCCTGACATACTTGCTGTTCCCTCTTTCACTTGCTGTTTCCACTCCCTCAAGAAGCAGACGAATCTAGGCTCTTCTAAACTTCGCCCAGGTTGAAAAGACTTAGTATAATTCCCTCTCCATCTGTTCACGAAGTCAACTGCTACTGCTAATCAGACCAGCAGAAAATCTGAGATAAAATATTAAAATTTAAAGTGTGGTTAGCATAAATATATAAGTTTATAACAAGTTTATAAAAAGTAAAATAGAGGCCAACTGTCATTTACTGCACTCCGCAATAATAGAAAGTTAACTGATGCCTTCGATTGAGGCAGTAACAAAAGTTCTAATAAACATTTACGTTTAGGATTGTTCGCTTGTACAAAAATAAATTCACTTGTAATTTATCATCAGTGCATAACTATAGCAAATAAAGAGCTCTGCACTCTGTCATTGTATACAGTGCAGCACAAATTCTCAAGTAAGTACGTAAGTTAGGCTAGAAGGTGATATCTTATTTTGCCAGATCCTGAGACATAGACGCTTTCTAAGGTGTTAAACATCCCTTCTAAACTTAGGTTTCTCTACTAATATGTGGGGAACTCTTAACACTTAGCTTTACAGAAGTGTGGGTCACTTCCTTTACAGTTAGATATTATGTGTTAATTCACCTTTATAAGTATTTATTTGACTTTTGCTGTGATGGCTATATCATACTGAACATATCTGCAAATATTTTTTCATTATATGGTCTTTAATGTATATGATTTTGGAGAGATCCTTTTGGTTTTTTACGTTGTAGAGTAACTGAATATTCAAAAAGTGTCTGTTGATATGTGGGTTCTAGAGCTACAATCCAAAGTCCCCTGTTGTTAACCTTTTTCATAAGTGAAGTTAAATTTCCTCCAAACTCAACTCTCATTCCTAAAGTTTTGCATGCTGCAACTTACCACACTCTATAGTGGGATTTGGGGATGGGGTCTTTTTAGTAAGTGCATTTAGAGAAAGACCATATTTTCATTTTTATCACATAGTAGGTTTGATAAGTACAAAACTGTGGATCATTTTTGGTCGAGTGTAGATCTCTTGCAAACTGGGAAAAACAAGATCCTCTCAAATATGATCTATTCATTTTGGCTTTGGGCTTTCCAATTGCTTTGACTGTGTACCTTCCTGATCCTCAGGTGCTAACATGCACGGTGGCTTCAACTGTTCAAAACTTCAGCTGCCTCCCTACCTGCAATCAAGCTTTATTTGAAAGCATAAGTTTTCTTGGAATACACTAGGAGAAAATCACCATTAATTCTCACCCTTGTGTATCTCTAGATCTATTGTTCATCTAGTCTTCATGGCCAGGTAGTTTGCTGCTAGGTGCTTGACCACCATCCCATACCAGTAGAAAAGAAGTTCCCGTATTCTTCTCATCATGTTTAGCATTGGGCTCTACTCAGGATGAATTTTCAAAAAGTGTATATTGAGTGGCATCTTGTTGAAACACTGCCCAGAACAGACATCGGGACTGTCTCTGTATAGATTGGTTCCATGTAGAGATCACAGAATCATCGAACAATTTAGGTTGGAAGGGACCTTTAAAGGTCATCTAGTCCAACCCCCCTGCAGTGAGCAGGGACATCTTCAACCAGATCAGGTTGCTCAAAGCCCTGTCCAGTCTGACCTTCAACATTTCCAGGCAACCACTGCCAGTGTTTCACCACTCTCATTGGGAAAAATTTCTTCCTTATATCTAGTTGAAATCTGCCTCTTTTAGTTTAAAGCCATTACCCCTTGTCCTATCACTACAGGCCCTGCTACAAAGTCCCCATCTTTCTTATAGGCCCCCTTTAATACTGGAAGGTTGCAAACAGGTCTCCCTGGAGCCTTTTCTTCTCCAGGTTGAACAACCCCAACTCTCTCAGTCTGTCCTCATTGGAGAGGTGTTCCATCCCTCTGATCATTTAGGTGTCCTTCGTCTGGACCCTCTCCAACAGGTCCAACTCATACAAATCACAGATCACTCATACAAATCCTCAAAGTGTGTTTTTCTATCTGTAAGGGAGACTGTTGTTGTAGTTTCTATTTTTTTGTCAGAGTAGCTGGTGTAGGAAAAGGTTTATTCTGCACTGGAAATTCAGCAAGTTACTTTTTTAATGGTAATGGACAGTTTCAAAGATTTTTCTTCCCTTTTTGGTGTGTGCAACTGCAGATTTTCAAGGATTCCAGCTGCTTAGCCTCCAAGGACAACTTATTTTGTCATGTTTATTAGTAATATGTAAACAAGAGTACAACTGCAATTAGTTACATTATGGAATGATATGTGGTATTTAAAAAAGAAAAAAACAAACCTGTAGCAAACTGTTGACTGCATCAAAAGCAGACTGGACAATTAAAATAAGTCATCATGTGCTTGCTTAGGGGGGGATGTGGAATAATAAAGCACAGACATATGGGTTCAAACCTAGTCCCTGATAAAGAACTTGGAAAAGATACTAACTACACAAGATCTTATCTTAGAGATAGGAAACTTGTGTATAGACAAACTATGTCCATTCATGTTAATTCAGCTTTTATACGTGTTTAAAACAAAATAAAATTTCTAACAATGTCACAATGTGCTGGAATATCTATAAGCAAAATTTGGTTTGACAATCCTGGTGGAAATGATTCACTCATTGGTCTATTGAAGAGTAGGACATTTTAAATTTTCATGGGCAGATTTTATGAAATGTTAAACAAGCTTTCCAGTAGCAGAGATATTCAGAATTTTATTTAAAATTCAATATCAGTTATAATTTTCTTTGCAAATTAATAGTAGATATTATTTTAAAGAAAATTAGGGGAGTGTAGTTACATAAACAAGTTATTTAACATTTCATAAAAATTCCCTTATGGATAGTCAAAGCCGTTCTTGTCAGTGTGAATGCCTGTGTACAGTACACACATATACAAACATACACATGCGTGCATACGTGCACAGAGTACTCCTTGCTGAATATAGGCCTGACAAGGAAGAACACAATTCTCCACCAAGCATTACTGAAAGGCGTTTCTATAGAGAGGTTTTTCTATGATTCTGCAGGGTGCAGCATAAAAGCCTTTGATATACAGATGTACATGGTATTTGGGGCTCGTAAGAAGTATACAGTTGAATAACCTTCATCCTCGATTTAGAAATCTGCCACCATTATATGTCATGATCAGGATAAAAGAGCATAATGGGATCAACAGAGTGTTTAGTCCACAGTATAACAACTAACTCAAAATGTACATGTTTGGCAAGGTGCACAAATGGACAATCCTTGTGAAATAAGGATTCACGTGATTGTAATTTCCACATAATTTAGGATTGGATAGTAAGAAATTATTTTGGCATCTTTACATTACTGATGTTTACAGAGTAAAGAATGTTCATGCTTCTATAATTAACACATCTCTATGTTCTGGGTTTTTATTCAGCAGTCTCCAAAATAGACAATGATTTTTTAATATTAATACTCGAATATATATACTTGGCAAACATTAATCACATGGGAGTTGAAATCAGCTTAAAAAAATTGAAAGCAACAGGCTTTTGCCCCAATGGTCATGAGAAACACTGGAAAATGGGAGTGTCTGGTTTGGATTTGGAAAGCAAGGAATGTAAATATCCTATATGCCCTTGCCTTCTACAAACTAATGCTACACATCTGGACACTTACAATAGTGTTCAACAATGAAGACCAGATTGATATTTAAATTTGGCTTGATTATTATAAAAACAATGTGTTGCTACAGAATTCAAAATACATTTTAATAACAAACGATAAGTTGCAATAGCCTTCTCCAGCACGCAGTTAAAAGTTAGCTAGTTAAGAAAAGCTTGGTCAATTATCACTGGGTTTTTTTTTCCTAAATATAAAAAATTGGCTAAAGGACAATAGCAACTAAGGCCTGAAAGTTGTGGCCAAATTTTTGTCCTTGAACACCTGCTCCACAAAGCCTATCTTTTTTTCTGTTCAGGTGAAAAAAAAACAGTCATGATTTTTTTCTACTGCTTTTCTTGGCAATCCTACCCCTCTTGCTTCAAGAGTGTCCAAATTAGCCTTAATCACACTGTGCAAAGGTAATCAGAAATCTATTATCACTGGAATAGCTGGTATCTAGGAGAAGATTGTTTTTCAGATAAGCTGTAATGACTCATTTAAAATGCATTCATTTCTCAATGTGGTTTTAGGCACCAATTATGCCTGCAAGTACCAAGTTACCTAGTCTGGCTGCACACTAG